CTATTTTAGGTTCGTTACAATATGTATGTATATAGTTTAGAGTTGGATACAGATTTTATCTTTTTGAGGTGTGATTTTTGATTTTTAGAGAATGTTTTGAAATAAAAGTCAAATTGCATTTAACCTGTGCGTTTTTTTTATTATAAAAAGAAAAGGTTTTCCACATATGCAAAAAGTGCCCTTTTTTCCCCCTGGAGCACTTGCCCCCCAAAATGTCTGTGCACGCCACTGCCATTGGGGGTACATTAATGTTATTTGTACCTTGGGGTACAAAACTATGCCTGGGCTGTGCCCTTTTTCCTGACAGTGTAGGAAGCCAGCATCCTTCAAGGATGAAGCAAATGTCTGTCCCTGTCACCCCTGCCAGAGAGGTGACCCCCCCCGTAAGCCCTGGGCTGCATGCTGCTCCCAGGTCCGCTTTAAGGAGAACTTCTCCAAACCCCGAAAGGAGCTGACCCCCCAGCGATGGGAGGTGTTCTCCCTGAGGTTTGCCGGCTGATTGGTGACCAGGCAGATCTTCCTCAGCACGGCTCGACGGAGGAGAATGTAGACCCAAGGGTCCAGGATCTGGTTCAAGGCGGCCAGGTATACGCCCTTCATCATTAGATACCGGTATTTTTCCAGGTCTTCCCCCAGCGACTGGTTGTGAGACCGTATTGCTGACATCAAGCCAAAAATCTGGGAAGTAGAGACAGAATTTACTCCCATTTTTATCAAAATTGACTTTCCACTGTCATATTTTTCTGAACCGCCACCTTTGGTATGTGTCCCATAATGGCTTTTTTAATACATTTTCTCCACATCCAGTCCTTTAAAAATCAAACAAAGTCATATATACTACATATTACTGCTGCTGATATATTCTATGGATATTCATTAATTGTCAAGAAGTATATTTTCATTCTAAAAACTTTCTTCACTTGGTAATTCTTGAAAGATACATTTCAACAGTGAAATCTTTAGGCATTTTAGTTTTTGGATGTTGATTTTTAAAAGTTTCATATTATAATTATTATATAAGTTGTAAGGAAAATAGAAGAAAATGAATCTCACTGGTGTAGAGAGAAACACACAGTTATCATGCTACATTGTTAAATAGAGCAGTTGTTAAATGAAGGCCCCATAGCTAAATATTCCTGTGGTCTTTATTACAGAAGATTTGTCAGTGTTTTATTTGACTGGCAACACTTTCCTCTGAGTATCTCATACAAAACATTTCAGAAATGTATAATCTAATTAATTAATCTAACTTATAAAGTAATTAAATATTCTGTCCAGAAGCAAAACTGAATAGCTAGTTCTGTCAGAATGCACACGTGAGACCAGAGTCACACAGTCACTGGAGTAATTGGGGTTAAGGGCCTTGCTCAAGAGCCCAGTAGTGACATCACTCTGCTGGTCATGAGATCTGAACCAGCGACCTTCCGATTATGGGCAGACAAAAAATTACACCAGCATTTGCTTGGAGATAAGGGATCAAATTACCTCCACTCCAAAGCAAAAAGCTGAAGTATGAATTGAGGCAGTAAACTATATAAACAAAATTAAATAATTTTGAAAATATGTTGCCACTTTACCTAAATGATGTGTTTTCTTGTGAAAGTTCATTAAACTCTAGAGGGAACTGGAAATTGGCAGTGACGATGATATGATAAACAGAAAGAATCACTCCTTCCTTTTTTGCTTAGAAGTCAGTATGAGTAGAGAGTGAATGGAAATTCTGAGAGTTTCTTTAGAAACCTTATCAAACAACAAGAATGTGGCAAGGTTAGTAATGCTCATACTCACCAGCAGGGGGCTCCAGCAGATGCAGGACGTGACCATTATCCCCACCAGTTGTACCACCATCTCGATGTCGTGGGACTTGGTGGAGCGGCAGCCGCAGGGTTTCCTGCGCAGCCTCGCCCACACCAGCGTGAGCCCGCTGATGGTATTGCAGACAAACGCTACAGCCAGAGACGCCAGGCCCAGTCCCGAGAAGAGCAGGACAAATGCCAGGTCCTGGGGTCCGACGTTGTTCAAGACACTGATAAAGCACCAGGTTCCTGGGTACTGGTAGGTGTAGGAACCAAGACTGAAGATGGGCATGAGAGCCATGCACAGCGCTGCCAGCAAGATGCCAGACAGGCAGAGCTTAGTGCGCGTTGTGCTGACCAGCGAGGCGTGCAGGAGCGGCCTCGTCACGCCCAAGCACCGCTCCACCGCCATGGAACAGCCCAGGAAGAGCGGGCAGAGGCCGAAGAAGACCATGCAGGCACCCAGGAAGCTGCACGTGGAATCCGTGGAGTCGAGGCCGGCCTCGTGCAGGTAGAGCCGCAGCACCAGGGCCCCGGCGACGACATGGCCGGCCAAATCGGTGGCCACCAGGGAGCTGGCGAGCAGCAGGAAGGTGGCTTTGGAACGCCGGTGCACCCGGTAATAGGCCTTCACCAGGATGACCAGCGCCACGACGTTGGAGAGGATGCCGAGCGTCATGTAGAGTCCCGCCACCGTGGGGCTCCTCTGAGGCAGGCCGGACCACCCCCCCGTCAGGTTGTCCCGCCGGGCGGCCAATGCGGCCAGGCCCCCCCGACTCCGGTTAGAGAGCGGCACGGGGGGCGATGGGCCCGTCATGTTTCAGTGATGCACAGCTAGTGTGGCTGGACGGTGTGGGTGAGAAACGTGGGGGAGCTGGAAGGAGGGAGGCAGAGAGTTTCAGCTGGAGACGACCAGACATCCACTGTCTGCAGCTGTTCCATATTACAGACGCTGCACAGTATTTCTTAGCTCTCCACCGCAAAGCACAATTTACTCTCCTTTTCCAACACATGTTATTAATCTCTGATAATGGTGCATTACACTTAATCTGTCTGTACCAAGACTTGGAATGTCTGCACACGATTTTTTCTTTTCCAGCAATAATATTTATAATACTAATTTCATGGCTAATTGTCATGTTTTTCACGTTTGTCTGCTGAAAAGAATGGCTGAAAAATCTGAATTTTCTAGGGGGGCATATTTGTGCATCAACACTTCATAGGGTACATTATCACAGCAGGAATATAAAATCTTGATTAAAACTTGTTACTTGTCCTGTTTGATTCCAAAGCATATCACTGCTCAACAATATTTCTACTGACTACTTCCGACAGACAAACAGAATCTCAAAAGGGTTTTATTCTCATCTGGTGAGGGTCTGTTATCAGTCTGCATTTTCCACGTTCTTCACTCTCAGAAAAAAAGGGTAAAAATTTGTACCTTTGATTGTCACTGGGGCTATACCCTTGTAATTATACATTTTAAGGTACAGAAATGGACTCCAAGGAACATTCTAAAGGTACAAACAGCATTAATGCACCATCAATTGTACAGAATTGTTCCTCAGACTCCATTTCTGTACCTTAAAAGGTACAATTACCTACAGCTATAGGGTATAATTGGCAGACCCTTGAGGGTACAGGCCCAGTGAAATGCAAAGGTACAAATTTTTACTTTTTTTACATTCATATTTAAATGTTCGTAGTTGGTATTTATGTTTAACTAATATTTAATTAATATTTATCCAATGTAAATCTCCCAAAAATCAACAAAACGTTGACATGAGACAAACATGAGACAAACAAGTTTGGTGCATGTACCCTGTGCATGTAACATTCTATGGTGACCATTAGCTTTTGATATTGCGTTTTGTTTGACAAATTCAAAATCAACCACTGACTTCATACACTGTCAGAAAAAAAATCTTTGAGGGTACAATCACTTGTCACTGGGGCTGTACCCTCAAGGGTCTGACAATTGTACCCTAGCCGTAGGTAAATGTTCCTTTTACGGTACAGAATGGACTCTGAGGAACATTTCTGTAGCATTTTTCTGACAGTGTGTGACAGGGTTCGAAAATGATAAGATTTCACAAGGTTTCTTCATGGTGTTTGCAGTGATCTTACAGGTCGGGTTGAGTCCAGTGAAACCCTGTCCTATACTCAACATGCACTCACAAAAAAAGGTGTTTAACAAATACAACAACCTAAATAAAAATTTATGGTATAAGGTAAACAGTTAGCTATAGTAATAGAGTCATCAGACACGTGATACATGTAACAGTTATTGTATTAATAGTTTCATATTTTTAAAGTAGTTATTTCAGAATATACTAAATAGCAAAAATTACATCAGTAATCAAGGCTACATGTCTTTATTATTATTATTATTATTATTATTTAATTATTCTTTATGCCAAATCGAAAAGATTACCGTTTGTAGTCGAGGACGCTTGTCGAGATTGTCCATAAGTACGGAAGTCTCCATAAGCAAGATCGCTTCAAGTCTTCAGAACTTGAAAATGTCCAATTCCACTTCAATACTCAAAAGTTACCAGTGTAACGAATTAACATCCTCCAGAAATAACACGAGAGAGAAATTGTATTCTCTAATGTACGACGTCGCGACCCATAGGTGGAATGTTTTCTATTCAAAAGTGCTACACAAGAGTAGCAACATTCAAAGCATCCATAAAAATAACACGACCCAATATTTAGCCAGGTCTCATTCGCCAGTTAATCGAGGAGTCACATCTGCTCCACAGCGCCAGTATCTCCCAGATCCGCTTGGCTTCCCATTTATACCGTACGTCCCTCTGCTCGCCTCCGCAAAACAGCTGCTAACGCCTATACGTCAAGCCTGGAAGCGCTTGTTATCAAAACTTATTTCTAAGATACACCGAATAGCCTGTATACAAATTTAAAAGCAAAATAACTGAACTATTATGAACACTGAATTAAATATCTTCCTTTGGATGAAGTTTGAAAGATTTGAAAAATCCTCGCCTCACTTTTACGTTCATTTTGGTATTAGGCTATAGGCCTATTTCAAGAAATTTATTTAAAAACAGCTTTAAAAAAACGCACGCTAAAACCAAATTACATCGGCCATTGGTCTTTTTGGAGAGGACTTAAACAATGAAAATTAAACACATCATCGGATGAGTGTCCAAAAAACGTCTTTTCTACTTTAAACCCGTCATAGCGGGAGGACGAGCGAATTTCTTCAAATCGATCTGATTTTCAACCTTTTCGACAGCATTCACACTTAGTCTAAATATCAGTTTGATGATTGATAAGAAGATCTGAGGGGCTTGGGACATTCTTATACCCATCCACTTAGGAAGATCATTTTTCATACAAATAAATTTCACTGAGGTGACATGAACAGGCGGCATATGAGGTTTGGAGGTCGACAGTGCGCGTCCACGAAAACAAAAGCTACAAGTTGATCGAAAGACACGGAATCCGCTTGCTTGGGCATTGAAGACTATAAAAGACTATAGACTTTGTTGGTGGTTAATTTTCTCTACTTTTAATCTTAAAGTTGTCGGATTCCGTAGTAAAACAGAACCTGCTTGTGAAAACACGCATTATTAGAACAGTAGATTTTCTGCGGTATAAACCAGCATTAAAACCATAAATCACATTAGTTAATGTCTGCCAGTTTACGTGAGTAATATTGTAAAAAATCTCGTTGCAACATCAGAAAATATGCACATTGCATTGAAAACTGTTCTAAAATACTTTCAAGTTTTATATTGACAGAGGCATTTTTGGAATCTTCCACAATTAGACTCAAATAAAACTGGAATTTCAGCCCAGACAACATGCAGAAAAAAACAGAGCTTAATACCACATTCCCTCCAGAAGTATCTGTCGCTGACTTAACATCAAAGCACACAAGATGCCCTTAAACATTAATGTTGAAAAAAGACACAAGTTGAGGATTCAAACCTGTGAGTCACCACAATGAGAGTGCCACTCTCCCCTGGCAGGGGTAATGGAAATGCAACTAAGAGTTGGTTATAACAACCACAACCATCCTATAGCATCACATATTACCAAATCCAAATATCTTGGAGCACCACCTGCTGGCCAAACGGGGATCAAACACATAGGACAGCGATGGACAGACACCGACCCTGACCAGAAGATAAACAAGAAGACTAAATCAAGAAAGCGCTTGACTGTTGAACTTTCAGAACAGTATTTTGGTTCCTCAAGGGATTAAGATGTTTCCTTTGTAAGCACTCCTGGGAGTGACTGCAAACTAAAAGAGTCTAAGCTTGGGATTTGCTTGGACGCTCATCAAGACCTGCTCCAGCACAAGTGAGCACAATGTGATCTGAACAAACAGACCATACTGGTCTCAGCACACACTCACCAAGCAGCATCTTCTGGTGAGTGCTAAGGAAAGCCATTCTTACTGAACACCATGCTGCACACTGACTCTGAACTGACCTGGCTGCATCACCAGCAACCCCAGTCATTTTTAGAAAAGCTGTTAGATTGAACGGAGCCTGTGGGCGCAAGGCAGGGAACAACTCAGAATAGAGCACCATCCGACCGCAGGGCACACTCACACACCATTCACTCACACACCATTCACACTCACCATTCACTCACACCATTCACACTCACCATTCACTCACACACCATTCACACTCACCATTCACTCACACACCATTCACTCACACCATTCACACTCACCATTCACTCTCTCATTCACTCACACCATTCACTCACACACTTTTCACTCACACCTACAGGCAACTCCAATTAACCTCAGCATGTTTTTGGACTGTGGGGGAAAGTGGAGTACCTTTTTTGTTTAACTGGTATAAGCTAGTATTATTATTATGAAGTAGAGACCCAAAGTGGGCTTTACTTCAGCAAAATTATGCCATGCCAACCATCTTTTGCCAAGCTGGTTAAACCTATAAGGAAACGACCCAGATGTTCAGTACAGCAGATCCCTTTGTCTGGTTTGCTCATTGATACAGAAGCGCTATTTAGTACAAACAACAGGCTTCTTACGTGCGTTTTCTACACCAGCGGTTCCCCACCTAGTCCTTGGGGACCCCTCCCCGCCCCCCCGACCACATTTCTCCAGCCTGCCACCCCCCAACACACCTGTACCAGTTTGATGACATGGATGTTTGCTTCATTCTTGAGTGTTTGCTTGAGTTGTGGGGGGGGGGGATCCCAGCAAACAGAAAGATAGGAGATTGATAAAATGATCTGCACGTCACAGCAATAACACCATGTGACCATGTGGGCCAATGAATCATGTCTGATTCTAGTTTGTGAGCTTGGCAGGCAACAAGATGGGGAGGGGGGCGAGGCTGGGCTGACCTCAGGTCGTCCCACGGGAAGCCCGAGGTAGGCGGAGTGGGGGAATGTATCAAATAGTGCAACTTTATATACAACCAATGCAACTAGAAAAATCAGTTTTAAATGTTAGCATTACTTATTTGTATCGTTCAAATGTCTTAATAAAATGAGAGTGAGTGCTGAGTGGTTCTTGTCTTGTTGGATGGGGGATTAACACAGTCTTTGCTGCCAGGGAGTGGGGGAGGGGGGTGCTGAAAGGGGGGGCTTGTTCAGGGCACCAAACAACCTAGAACTACCAGTGACACTAATCACTAACAGCAAAAACAGGCCCATACTGATCATATCAGATGTTTGTGCAGCAAGCAGAAGGACGGACTGCGGAGGTCTTGCTGCGTCCTTCTTGCTGTACGATCCTCGCGGAGGGGTGTAACAGAAGAGGAGCTATTCTTTTTTGGAACCCCCCCCCCTTTGCGTAACAGTACCGTATCTGATCCTAGTTTAGCATTTCCATTTAGTGTTTTCTAGAGACCTGATGCCAGGGAGGGGGGTGTTAAAAATCCTGCATCCCCTCTCTCAGTCTTACCGCCCTCCCACCCAATCCGCAACAGCAAACAGGCTATATTTGGTATTTCCTGATTATTCCGTACCTTGGGCCATCAAGTGCAGTTTAACGAAAATGAGCCTGAAATTACGCTGTAAAAAAAAAAGCGGATGAAAGTGGCGTGTTAGAGAAGCCATTGAAATTTATTTTAGTACCACTCATGGTTAATTGCTCTAGGTTCCCCATCATTCACTTCAAGCAGGGCTGTCTTTTAAAAAATCTCCCTCTGATTAAAGCAGCTCCTTTGTGCACTTACATCAGTAATGCAATTTACTGATTCAGTCCTTCATCTTCCTTCCATTTTCCATCCGTTCATTTTCATAGTTCTGCTCACTGCATCTTTCCCAGCTCTTCAAATTTTCGGTGACGTTATTTATATTTACAACAAAAAGACTTCATGTTTCAGGCACTTAATCACCAGCCAATCCCAACCAGTGCCGGTCCGCACCTCAAGTGACATAGGCGGCTGCCTAGGGCACTGTCTTCAGACGGGTGCCGACTTAGCAAGTCAATATTACTTTGTCTCGGATGGGGGGGGGGGGGTGTTGGCAGTGAAGCCTATGCTGGGGGAGATGTGGGCTTCAGCCAGTACTGAGCACAGGATGTTGCGGAGCAGACCCTGGACCACAAGGCTGGTCCCTATTGTCTGTCTGTCCGTCCATCCATCCATCCATCCATCCATTTTCTGAAACCGCTTGTCCTATTTAGGATCCCAGGGGGTCCAGAGCCTATCCCGGAAGCTACGGGTGCAAGGCAGGGAACAACCCAGGATGGGGCGCCAACCCATCGCAGGGCACAGTCACACAGCAGTCGGTCCCTATTGTCATTAACTCTATATCACTTTATAATGGAAGAATGCCCACAGAAAATATGATGTTACATTTATATAGCTCTTCCAAATGTGCTATGAAATGAAGAAGAATCTGAAGAATAAATAGGAAAATCAAAAACAATTAAAAGAAATAATTGCTAAAAATTACAGCTACACCTACGACAGAGGTATGAATTCCGTTTTTAGTAACTTGAGGTTCCCCCACATTTGTCCTGAACAGAAACTTGGGAACCCAGAATGCGGTGCACGGGGTTTTATTTATTTTTATTTTATTTCCGGATGCATGGGCCAGAAGTCGCGACATTTCAGAGCCTTCTGTTACAGAATGAAGGCCCATGTGAAAGATGGAGAATAACTTTAATATGTTATGAATTCGTTCAGTAAAATACATATTTTATGACTTCAACTTGAAATTCAAATTCAAACTGAAATTCAGTTTGATGATGCTTTCGTGTGACAGGTTCTTGCAGCGCAAACCCACGCAAACTGCAGACCAAGGCCAAAACATGAACGTGAGAAAGTTTGTTTTTGACATCCGTCGGGCCAGCACCAGCCTACACACAAGGCGCTCTGGGACTTTGTGAGGTCTTCCGCTTTTGGTTACGTGTTCCTGCAGTTGCACTGGAATCTCAGCTCGCTTACCATGCAGATCGCGCCACTGCCAGTGAGCTTCAACAACAGACCAGCTCATCAGGGGCCTGGATCACCAAGCTGGATTTCTTGCTCAGCTGAATAACTGGATAATCCAGGCCTCATGATCCAGTCAAATACAAACCAGATGCTACATTCCCTGGAGTCTGGGCCCTGCAATATATCCATATAATCTGACAGGATCTGCGTGCCATAAATAAAACAAACATGGAATAAATTATCAAGTGCACACTAATCCTTTGTTATTGTATCTTTTTTGATTCCGTTCATCTGTTTTCTCTTCTGTATGAGGCCTGGGCGTTCCTGAGCACCTTGTATTTGTAGGGGACGGTCCTTTAATACCAGCAATACAGCAAGTTTATAAGCTGTAGTGTTCTCTCTTAAAGTGGTCTGTACATCAGTCTTTTTGTCCGCATGTGGCAGATATCGAAATCCTTAAACCAAATCTGTTGATTAATAATTAATTAATTAATGGAATGCTAATTTATGACTAAGACCTGACCTGCACTGACCTGGCTAAGTTCAGTACCTACTCTCTTCTAAGATGGAATGAAACAGGAGCAGTTAAAATAAACTTGGTCTAAGTTT